CTTTGTTTTGCCCTGATCATCCCCCTGAACTACTTATTTCAATATTTTCTTGGCTACTGAAAACTTGGAGCCATCTTGCGAGTATCCCATCCTTAAAGTATTGTATTCAAATCATAGCTTGTGCGCATGTTAATTTTCCTTCTCTGGATTATAAATCTCTTGAAAGGGAAGGCTGAGTTCTGTGTTTTGTTTGACCCACTCAGCACACAGCAATATCTCATGTTAGTGGGCGCTCAGAAGGAAGTCGGTGTCAGTAAAGCAGAAAGGACAGATGCCATTCATGGGAAGGAGGCCACTGAGATCAGGTGATTGAAGTCCTATGCAAATGAAGGAAGTTTTACATGATGTTTACTCTCTGATTTTTCTTTCCTGAAGTATAAGTACATTCTTATTATATGCTTCTATTAATGCTTTCCAAGGTCTGCTTGGGCCTGTTGCAGAAAGTAATGCTAGGGAAAGGTTCAAAACCTCACCAGTGAATATGCCTCAGCAACTCAGGGTAGCTGAGCAGTAAGTTATCTGGGAAGGTGAAATCATAATTATTAAACACTTGGCACTATTAATTTAGCAGTGTAAACAGTAGGCATTTACCAAGAAAAGGCATGTATTTGCTCTTGTCTATGTTGCCTTGAGTTCAAAAGCAAGTTCTATTTCAGCAATATGCAGTGAGTTTGAAATTTTAGTTTTGTCATTTCTAACACAATTAACAATACTTTGAAACAGTGTGGGAAATGGCAAAAGAAGATGAGAATAAGAATTATCAAGACAATCTCTTAAGGCATTGTTGAGTAATTAAATATGTAATGTGATTTAAAAGTCTCATTGATAGCAAGGGGAGCTTTAAAAAATCTTGATATTGAGTGCTGGTCTCTCTTCAATTTCATTCAAATGACTGAAGAACCCGGAAAAGCAGTTGCTGCTACTGATGCACGAAAGTCTGCTATTGGTCGTGTGTGTAGAGTGTGTGTGTGTGTGTGTGTGTTTGGAAGTTTTGGAACTTTAGCTATACTGTCAGCTTTGGAAGGAAGTGTCCCGCTTTGCCACACTGAGTTGGCATTTATAAATATTAACAGCCATATTGGTGTAGAAACATTAACTTTATTTTTTCCCATTTGTACAGGGGTAACACACAGTATCAAATATGGAAGGTGTTATCTATGGGGTCCTAGTGCAAAAATTAATATTCTCTATATTAAATAAAAACATTGTTGTCTAGATTTTAATTATTTCTTGTTTGATTGCAGTGTCAGTGGATAGGAGGCAGCCTTCAGTGTCTTAAGGTGATTCCAGAGCGTGCCCCAAAGCGTGGCAGCTTGGGGACCTCTTTCACGAGTAAACAATGAAATAAATAAGATACTGAGAGGGTAGATCATTCGAGCCCTAGTTGCGCTTTTGTTTTGTTATCATATGTTATGGACATGGCGCACATGTAAATACTGGCTCTAACTGAATCAACCTTAATTTGGTCTTAGATGGTCATTCTTAGATGACAAAATACTCGGTTATCTATTTCAGTGGTCCTTATACTATATATATATATACATACATATATATATATATATATATATATATATATATATATATATATATATACCTCTCATGCCTAGATATTTAATGTCTAGGACAATCTTTAACATCTGTATTATGTCTTAGTCCACCACTGCTGAGTTTTGACACTCACGCCACTCCAACATGTCAGGAGCTCTCCGGACCCATATTCCACTACCACTAATTAATAGCTATACATGCCTAGTACCAACTGTCTGAGTCTGGGTCCTTGAAGACAGGACTCTGAGTTGGGAGTTGTAGGTGGGGAGGCTTTAGGGAACTGAAAAATACAGGATTCAGTAGGGGGAGATGCCATCCGTAACCAAGTCGTGGTAGGGACCTTGGCTTGTCTCGTGGGGAAACTGTAGAGGTACAGTGACCCTTCAGAGTTGTAACTTGAACCAAAGGAGTCAGTTTTCATAAAAGGGAAGATGGTAGCACCTTAAATTGTGCACCAGTTATCCTGACCCCAAGCAGGCAAAACTCTCAACTCTTACCAAATAGATGGTTCCTGTATATTGTGAAAGTTGGGATTACTTAGAACAAGAGGGCCGTGTCTGTTTAAAATTCCTTCTCCTTCTATATGTACGGCTGCTCTCTCAGTAGATTAGGAAAATGTTGATGGATTTGTAAGATCTTCATTTTACCACTGACTCTTTCCACGGTATGTGAGAGAATTAATTGGTTGAAGAGAAAGAAAGGCAATTGGAAGAGGTGATGCTTAAGGCTTTGACAAGGCCTTGCTTGGCCTTCACCCTGTTCAGCTTGTATCTTGGAAGGCACAGATGGTATTCTTACTAAATATGCAAATGTCAGGATGCCAAAAGAGATAATCGACTACATAACAAAATCTTCATTCACTGTAGCAGTGGCCCACACTTAACACATGCGCAGGAAATATGGCTCATTGGTTGAGTACTTTCCTGGTTTGCACGTGGTCCTGGGTTCCACTTCAGCACTTCAAATAAATCAGTTAAACAACACAGTGAAATACGATAGCATTTCTAGTCTAGCTAACCAATGCAACATTAAAATTGGCATAGAAAAGAGTAGAGGATCATTTGTACTTGTTAATAAGACAGCCGCTTTGAGCACTTGTTTTATGCCAGGTGGTCTGTAAAAGACTTTATGTGTAGTTTTATAATTTAACCTTGGCAAAATTCCTTTAAGACCACAGTCAAGTTGCTAGCAGAAGCGACAACACCTAACATTTATAGAGCACTTACTGAGTTCCAGGTATCCTTCTAGCATTTCACTCTTAATTCTCCTTATAACCCTACAAAGTGTACACTGTCATTTTCTTTGTATACACGAGGAAATGGAGGGACAGAGTGGTGGAATCACTTTAAGGCCAAGCCCTGGGTTGAGCTGGGATCCATTCAGTGTGATGGATTAGTATGGAGCCAGCAGTCTAGTACTTACTTTATCTCTGGAGGTCGGGAAGATTAGAGAGCATGTGGAACTTTGCTAAGCTCCTAATGAGATGAAGGGTTGGGATTGAAACATACAATGCTGACCATACGGTTGCTTTGCATTTTCTTTCTTTCTTTCTTTCTTTCTTTCTTTCTTTCTTTCTTTCTTTCTTTCTTTTTTTTTTTTTTTGGTTTTTCAAGACAGGGTTTCTCTGTAGCTTTGGAGCTTGTCCCGGAACTAGCTCTTGTAGACCAGGCTGGCCTTGAACTCACAGAGATCTGCCTGCCTCTGCCTCCCAAGTGCTGGGGTTAAAGGCATGTGCCAGCTTGTATTTTCTTTTTAACTGTCCTGTACTACCTTCCCACAGTTTATGACCGGGTGTATTAATTATCTACTGTAATCTTGATAACAACCCTGTGAAATTGCTTTCACTGACAGGAAACTGAAAGTTATGAAGATTCGAAACCAGTTGCAAGATCCTGCAGATAGGGTTTTGTTTTATGTTGTTTCCTTTCTTTTGTTCTTTCTGCTTTGTTTTTGAGTCAAGACCTGTGCTGGAACTCCTTCTGTGGCCCAGCTGCCTCAACTCAAGTTCTTCCCCTCCCAGCCTTCCTGAGAGCCGCGGTTCCAGGTGTGCCTCCCCACACGCTGTTAACAGATTGTGAGCTGCTAAGTTGCAAAATGCACAGACTTCTTAGACAGTTTGCCATGCTGGAAGAGAAAGATGTGAGAAAACCAGCAGCCTCGGGGAAGAAAAGCACACTTGCAAATTCAGTGTGAGGTAGTGACGTGATGTCGGTGCCCACAAGGGGAGGCCACCTGATGCTGCACTCGAGGACGGTGTCCGGGGCAAGGAAGGTGGCGGTCCCACTCCAGTGCCGGTCAGCTGACACGCCTGGAGCACCGTGAGCAGCTCCTTTAAGATGTGAGTCTGTCACACAGTGTGACGCTCATCTAGGTGCCGGCTTGCCACACTGCACTGTCTGAGCAATATGTACAGAGGAACAGCTGCCAACAAGCTGAGAAAATTTAGCCTCGAAAATGGGAAGAAGACATGAGAGGTCAAATAGCTAAAATTTAAAAAACCCTCCCCACATGATGGAGGATTACATCTAATCTGTATAGTTTCAGTGTGAAAGACTAGGCTGCGTAGGTACAAGTTGGTGGAACTGGCTCCTTATAAGGTCCGACTGCTGTTTTTTTTTTTATTTTTTGATATGAAATCAGCTTCTTAGTTGAGAGTCAGTTTTTTATCACTGTGGAAGAAACTGGTCACTAATTGTGGGTGTTAAACACACACACACACACACCTGTGGAGTGGGTATAGCTTTAAACACTTTAGAGAATAGTCTACGTTTGCTATGGGGGAATCAAATGAGTTCTGACAAAGCTAAGGGATTGTCCTAATGGAGGGCACCTGTGTGGGGCCAGCCACCAATCAGCTTTGACAGCCTGGCATATATGGAGTAGCCCGAACCTCACCAGACAGGTGTGAGCAAGAGTTGGCAGGAAGGGGTATAGCTGGCTTTCTGACTCTGGCCCACAGTTTTTAGGGGACTAAAGACATTTTTAGAAATTTACCGGCGAGTGAAATGTGTTTTTATTAATCTTAACTTTTAGTGTAAACCACGTTTTCCACCTGCAGTCCCTGAACCCTGAAACGCTTGATTCTTCGTAAGTAAGTCCCTAAAAAGTGCTCGCTAGTGTAATCTCCTGTCCGCATTGGTAACTTTGTGCTTATGATGAATCCTGATTGCTGAAGTGTTTTAAACTTCGAACAATGTTGTTTTTTTTTTTTTTTTGAAAAGTGTGAGGACAGAAAGGTTGAAGACTAGGTGTGTGTGTGCGTGTGTGTGTGTGCATGTGTGTTTTCTCATATGTGTGTGTTGATGTGTTAGTTCACTGAGGACTCACCCCCACTCCCCCCCAAAACCCTACGTTTTAGGCATATAAAATTTTCAGCCTTCAATTACACATTGCTGATCAGTTAAACCTAGGCCCCTCTGTGATCCGGTCTTGCTTTTCTTCATTGGTTTCAGGTCTCCGTGCAGACTGCTTTGGAATCATGAGAGATGAAATTGCAACAGCAGTTTTTTTTGTCACAAGACTGGTGAAAAAACACGAGAAATTGAGTGCACAGCAGATAGAGGTCTTTGCACTGAAGCTGATGACCATCTTGTTTGAAAAGTACAGAGGTCACTGGCATCCCGACTGTCCTTCTAAGGGACAGGCTTTCAGGTGAGAGCCCACGTGGCGCAGGGGAGGCGCAATTGGCCAGCAATAGCGTCTGCTAGGAAAAGGCAACTTTTTTTTTTTTTTTGTCCGTCTTCAAGTAAGGGATGTTTTATGAGCTCCCATTAATTTGTCTGAACATAGGTTTGAAATAAAGAGGTGTGATATAGCTGAACACTTCATTAGACAAGTTCTCATCTGTTTGCCATAAAATATAGACGATGAACGTCTATCTGGTGAGCTAACAATGTGATTTAATGTTACGATACCCATTCTGAGTCAGCACGGCCGAAGTTAATGACGTTTTATTTCCACTTGTAAGCATGGAGGGCAGGGGAGGATGAGGAGAAGATGTGGGTAAGGCAAGATCGGTACCCACGATGTGTGATTTCCTACTGCAGAACCCGTCAACACACCTTCCTTGCCCTTTTCTTGCTTTCTGTTCTCCTCAGGTGTATCAGGATCAACAACAATGAGAATAAAGACCCTATATTAGAAAGGGCTTGTTCTGAGAGTAATGTGAATTTTTTTCACCTGGGACTTCCAAAGGAGATGACCATATGGGTCGATCCCTTTGAGGTGTGCTGTAGGTGAGTAATTGTGTGGTTTGTGTGCTTGGTGACCCCTAGGAAACCTAGGTTGCTTAGCCAGCTCTATGTACCTTTGTGAAAGATGATGCCCAAAGCATTGGCTTAGCAACTAGGACACTGTTTGATCACGGTTTCAGATGCGAACTTTTACTAGACAACACGCGTTTCCATTAGGGATGGTTGGATTGGCAAGCACAAAGGCACTGCAGTCTATTTGTAGTGTGACTTGGGTCATTGCAACCTGTTGCATACTGCGGATTTGTAACTTTTAAGTACTGTGGGAAACACCAGGAAGGCAAGGGGATCAGCTAGTGTGGAGGAAAAGTCAGTCCATTAATTGACCCAAAAGAAACAAAAAGTTTTATTTTGCTTTTTTTTTTTCTGACCAATTAAACAGAATAGCTATTGCAGGATATGCTCACTAATTGTAACATCCTTGTAGCTTCAGGTTACATTGCCCTTCAGTTTGCTTTTTTAGAAGAGTCAGACTCTTTAAAATACCTTTTTAAAAGTTAAAGTTAGTATGGTGTCTCCAGACAAAGAGATTATGCTTGTGGGAAGTCGAGTCTCTAATGAATATTTTCTTTCCCGCTTAGGTACGGTGAGAAAAAGCATCCTTTTACCATTGCTTCTTTTAAAGGCAGATGGGAGAACTGGGAGCTAGCTCAGCACATCAGCTATGCAGTTAGCAGGGCCACTGCCGATTGCTCATCTGGAACGTCTTCTGATGAAGAAAGCTGTGGCAGGCAGCCCCAAGTCATTCCCAAAGTCAACAATCCCAACAGCATCTACCAGGTTGTGTGTGCTACACCATTCTGTTCTAATTCTAGAAAGTATACACTCGCAAGAAACAGAGCCGGAAGTAGTGAAATGACAAAGAGAAGCCCTCTTGCCAGTGTCAGTATTTTGGCAGAACCTTTCCTGTCCCCCATCCCCTGACTGTTGTCGCCACTTAACTGAGTCTTTATGAGGCATGGTCTTTTGTTGTCCTGTTTCTTCACATAGTTCTTGAAAGCACCTGACTTTCTACTTATAGTCCTTCTGGTTAAATTGTAATGGTTAGTGGGTTTTGTTTTTGAGACTCCCTAAATAGCACAGGCTGGCCCACAATTTCTGATCCTTCTGCCTGTCACCTACTTGAGTGCTGTGATTTAGAGGTGTGTGCCTCCTCACTCTATTTAGTAGGTTTTATTAATCAAAATAGCATGTCATTTAGAGAAAGCCTAGCCTATTTAAGAAAGACCAGGACACTTTTCATGCTGGCACTAGTGCAGTTTGTTTTCAAAACAAAACAATAGCAAAAAAAACCTTTTAAAAAAGCCATAGTCAGTTTCAAGGGAGCTTGTCCAAAGAACAAAACACTCAAACAATCAAAACCGGTAGAATTGTAACCCATCAACAGATACACATTTATATGGAAATATGTTGCATGAAACAATACTAACACTTACCAGGAGCCTCCCACCCCAATACTTCTGTAGATAATTACAGACATCTTAAGTTGATTTAATGACCCGTTTGAAAAAAAAAAAACAAATCTGACCAGGTGGTGGTGGTGCATATCTTTAATTCCAGCACTCGGTGTGTGTGGGGGTGACAGAGGCAGTCTGGTCTATAAGTTCAAGGTCAGCCTGGTCTACAAAAGCTAGTTCCAGGACAGGCTCCAAAGCTACAGAGAAATCCTGACTAGAAAAGGAAAGGAAAGAAAGAAAGAAAAGAAAGAAAGAAAGACAGAAAAAAATCAAATTTGAAGAGCTTCTCTATCAATAATTCTTATGCATGCTTTCACCTTAAACACTTTTGTTAACATTCAGTTGTTTTCCTCTTAAGAGTTACCAGCCAATATTTTAAATTGCTTCCACATTGCTTTATTAAAAACCAAAATCCCCCCAAACCCGTAAAATTTGGCATCATTATAGAAGTTAGTTCTTTTGTTTTCTTCCTGAAGTTATTTCTTAAGACTTGATTCTCAGACATGGAATTTTCAGACCATTAAATATGATAGTCACTTATTCCTAATATATGGCTTAAGTACATACTAGAACGCTGTATTTTTAAAAATTTTCACTAGTTCTACTATCTGCTTTACCATTTTCCCTAAAATTGGCCTGTTCTCAAAAGGCAAATAATTTGAAAAAAATTCCTATAATAGATAGCACTAATGAAATTAAGTATTCAAAACTGTTTCATGAAAGTTCACCTATTCTTTGAAGACCTTATGTAGTATCATATATTATGGGTCAGAAACATATTAAACTTTTGTTATATTACTGGAAAACATTTTCTTTTAGTTTTTTTAAAACTGCGTGTGTATGTACGCATGCATCTGTGTGTCTGTGTATGTGCGCGCACATGCATCTGTGTCTTTGTGTGTGTGCGTGCGTGCGTGCGTGTGTCTGTGTCCCTGTGTGTAACAGTTTAAAACTATATAACACTAGATTTTTAGGTAGAAGGCTAAACTGTTCTATGGTAATGTCTTTCCAGAATGTGGTCTCTAAAACATCTTTGTCAATTATTTGTGATGTTTGTAATGGGTGGGTTTGGCCCCAGAGATCATTTTTAGGCAGTTTTGGAATGTCAGGAGGGAGTGGGGTAAGGGTGAACCTTTGCAATGTTTTATGTTTTTATCTTTGTGTGTGGTCTAGGGATTGAACGTGGGTTGGTAGATATCTACTTAGACACGAGTTGTTTCCAGCCCTAACTCATTACCTCTTCTTTCCTTTATGAGAGAGGGTCTCATTAATTTCCCCAAGCAGGCCTTAAACTTTTGATTCTCTACCTCAGTTTTCCAAGTAACTGGAACTAACGGCCTTATTAATAACATAGCTTACGTATTTATAGTTTCACTTAAGAGTTCATTTTCGGGGCTGGAAAACTGGCTTAGCAGTCAAAGGGAACTGGCTGCTCTTTCAGAAGATCCAGGTTCAATGGTTAACATAACCACGAACGTGGTAGCTCATAGCCAACTGTAACTCCATAGGGGATTTGGCACTCTTCTGGTTTCAACTGCCCTCAGTGGGTACCAGGCACGTATATGGTACAGACACACATTCAGGCAAAACATCCATACACATAAAAGAAAAAAGAAAAATTAATTTTGCTTAAAGATATAAATTGATGATCTCTAAAGGCTATAAAATTCTGGAAATTTTCTGTAGATCACTATTTACTTTTTCTAAATTTGTAATCCCTGTGCTTTGGAGGGACTTCTCTTCTGAGTTCTGGGCTCATAGTCTCAAGAGCTGCCTATCAGTCCAGAGACCTTCACACATTGTTTTTCCTGTCTTTTCTTTTTCCTTCCCAGGTGGAAACCTTCAAGCAGTCCTTCCAGCCGTGGTTGTGCCTCCCTCGTAGAAAGCATTTGGCAGATGGTCGTGGGGGCATCTTGGGGGCGGCTTTCCACCCAGTGCCCAAGAACCCTAAATGGTGCAGGCCTGCAGGGCGCCGGGTGGACAGGTACCACTGGGTCAACACACAATTGTACAGTGGTCAGGCAGCACAAAGCAAGCTTGAAGGAGAGGCCTTGTCTTCCCTAAAGCAAAAATGAGGCCAAAGCCAAGAAATTCCCCACCAGAAGGAAGAACTCTCTCAGGGATGGGAGTGCACACAGATCACCGCTCGACTTTTAGCTATACTTTTAATTCTTATTTAACTTTATATAAATTTTTATGTAACACTAGTGAATATATGTGTCTTGTAAAGTGATTGGAGATATTGCCTGTAATAAAATAAAATTAATTATGGGAAGGAAGAGTTGAAATAAACGCATTGTGTTTTTAACAAACCCCTTAGTTCAGTTTGCTGCAAGACAGTTTTAAGTGTCTTGTTTCGCCTGTAGTCACTGTTTTAAAAGCAGGTTTTCAATTAAGGGAGAGTGATCCTGACAGAAAACTCTTCTGGATTCGTCTAATATTTGTGGTAACCAGTCTATTTTATAAATCTTGTAAGAACTTGTTGGAATTATTTTTAATATAAGAGAATTCCCTCGGTATGTCTTTTGAAAAGTTTTATTTACTACTAAAACTTCATAGACATACTCATATGAACTGTTTTTATAAAAGTGGTACCTGCTTCTTATAAAGAATTCAAACCGGGGGTTGGAGAGATGGCTCAGAGGTTAAGAGTATTGTCTGCTCTTCCAAAGGTCCTGAGTTCAATTCCCAGCAACCCCATCTGTAATGAGGCCTGGTGCCCTCTTCTGGACTGAAGAAAGAATGCTGTATACATAATAAGCAAATAAATAAATATTTAAGAAAAAAGAATTCAAACCAAGTCAAGAAACTCACTATCAAAAGAAATAAATCCCTACTAGTGAGCCGCATGCAACCATTACTAATATTAAATGGTGGCCGTGTTGCAGGTACATTTTGCATATATACAGACTTAAGAATGGATACAGAGGCTTTCAGATGGCTCGGTGGGAAGTTCAGGCCACCAGAGTTCAGGTCCCAGGACTCACAGGGTGGAATGGAGGAGTGACACCCACAAGCTGTCTTCTGTTCTCCACATGTGTGCCATGGCACCTGCAGGCCCTTCCCCAAATATGTAAACATCAAACTCTTTTGAAAAAAGAAGGAATACACAGATACACCATTCACTAAGAGACCCATGCTAGAGGAGCTACCCATCAGAATTTACATTTGGTTTTATTTGATTTTCATAAAACAACAAATAACCCTGAAATGGAATTGGAAGTGGCCCTGAAATGCTTCAAAGCTTTCCCACACCAGAATATCTAATTTCTTAAGTTTTATCTGGAATTCAACATTATGTTGGTGCAGTATTTAAAACTTTATATTTGCCTATTTGTTGCTATACCCACCATCTGAGTTAGGATTATTAAGTTTTTGTTGTTTATTTACAATATTATTGTGTGTTTGTGTGTGTGTGTGTACATTTTCATGTGTGTGCGCATGTGCCTGTGTGTGCACTTGCTTGTAAAAACCAGGGGTCTACTCTGAGTGTCTCTTCAATTTTTCTTCTCATTTTTTGAGACAAGGTCACTTACTTGGAGAGATGGGCTGGTTTACAAACCTCCTGTCTCCCCCTCCCTGGTGCTGGGATTACAGGCTCAAGCAGTGGTGCCTGGCTTTTTAAGGGGGTGCTGGGGATCTGAACTCAAGCCATTATGCTTGAACACCAAACACTTTACGAACAGCCTTCTCCCTAGCTTTCCTCTGTGCCATTAGAGACTGATTTAAAAACTTCATATGTATGAGTGTTTGCTTGTGTGTGTATGTGTACCATCAGTGTGCCTGGCGCCCATGGAGGCCTATTCTGAGTCTCTGAGACAAGCAACCTCCATCTTGAGTATTAAGCTTTGTCCCCTTGCATAAGATCATCCCAGCTGGACTTTTTGATCCCTTTGAGAATGGCAGAGAGGGGTAGAGGCCCCACCTGAGGATCCAACCCCACCCCACTACCTGTCCTGCACAGCTCTGCCTTATGTTTACGTGGCCTTTAGGGGATGTTAGAATAATAGGCTGGGGAAGATTAGGGAAGGGGGGCCCCCAAGTATATGTATGCAGAGAAGCCTTCATTCCTGCTGGGTAATGCTTTCCAGGTGTGGCCTGTGGGGGGCAGGGTACCCACACCCCTGTAAGTATACACTAACCTATGCTCTGTAAGGGAGTGTAGTAAACTCATTGCTCCCTGGAGTGAACTTTGGTGGAATCATGCCCCAGTTTGTCCTTGAACTTGCAAAGGGAATATGTTGCTTATCTCTCCTTCTGGGAAGAAATTTTTAGCAGCGAGTCCACGAGAAGGCATCAGATCCCCTGGAACGGGTGTTACAGATTGTTGTGAGCTGCTTTGAGGGTACAGAAACCAAACCAGGGTCCTCTGAAGGAGTACTTAGTGCTCTTAACTGCTGAGCCGTCTCTCCAGTCAGGCCATACCATTTTTAATGTTGGGATGTAACATATTCTATGCTGAAACAATTATTCATGTAGCTTTTCGTTTATAGCTCTATTTTAAATGGTTAGATGCTTGTTAGGAGTCTTTTGTGTGAAATCTGTTTTGTTGGAGTTTTTTAGGAAACTTTTCTACAGATGGTTCATAGGTATGATGTGAATTCAACTGTGGTTTTTTGCTTTCTTTCTGTCTTCCAATTTCATTGTCATTGCAATGAAATGGTGTTCCTGGCACTGTATATTGCAGGGAGAAAAAAACAAACTGAGGTCCATTTGATTTCTTGGAACTCCTTGCTACGCACCAAACCATGTACGTTTGACTTTCTTAGGTATCTGTTTTGTCTGCCAATCTGGAAAATTAATTCTCTGTACTTGAATTAAATGTTCCAGTCAGCTGTTCTGTATCAGTTTTCCTTGGAACATTGTATATATATAAATCATAAAGATATATATATGCATATATATATGTATATCTTTCTGATATGCACATTTACTTTTCCATAATCATCTTAGTCACGTTTCTACTGCTGTGATAAAACAAACCATGACCAAGGCGACTTAGAAAAGAAAGCATTTATTTGTGCTTAGGGTCCCAGATGGTTTGAGTCCGTGATGGCCAGGGAAGCCTTGGGTAGCAGGACAGCTGAGAGTTCACATCTCAGTCAGGAGACAGAGAGCGCCCGGGGAATGGCAGGAGGCTTTGGAAACCTCAAGCCAGTCCCCTGTAATGCACCTTCTCTGTCTTAGCTCCAGTTTCTATTGTGAAGAGACACCATGACCATGGCAACTCTTACAAAGGAAAACATTTAATTGGTGTTGGCTTACCGTTCAGAGGATTAGTCCATTGTCATGGTGGGAACGTGGCCGCATGTAGACATTGATGGCGCTGGAGACGTAGCTGAGAGTTCTACATCTGGATAGGCAGGCAGCAGGAGACTGTGACACACTGGCCAGGCTTGGCTTGAGCTTCTGAGAACTCCTTAGTGACACACTCCTTAGTGACACACTCCTTAGTGACACACTTCCTCCCACAAAGCCACACCTCCTACTAGCGCCACTTCCTATCGGAGCCATTTTTATTCAAACCACCACACCCTCAAAAAGGGCCACACCTCTCCATCCTTCCTAAGCAACCACCAGCTGGGGACCAAGTCCCCTGGGCTGTCCTCTTTCAGACCAGCCCAGGAGTGTTTCACCTTTGCATGCCTCATTCTTCATCCTTCTCATGGACACCGACCAGCGGTATAAGGGTAGGGTCATTTTGTCATTTCGTCTGCATTTGGCCACTTTAATCTTTGTTATTTTTCTTTAAACCCGATTGTCTTAAGCCTCCCTTCTGTCCATTTGATTCTCAATCCTACTCAGTCTGATTCTTGTTTCTATTCTATTTATTAGTTCTAGAATACTTTGGAATTTAATTTGTGGCTTATTTTTAACCATCTAGTTGTAAATGTTTCAACTATATTTTTTAAAATATAAAACATAAAGTTTTCTTTTGTGTCCTGACTTAGGATGTCTATTACCGTGGATTCTTCTGTATTTTGTGTTAATCTTCTTAGTTGTAGCATTAATGTAGTTACCACACTGGCTTTTTCCTCGTTCCAGTTCAATGTGGACAGTTCTGTATAGAATTTTCATTTCTGAAGTACGGGGTGCATGATCTTTTTTTTTTTTTTTGTCTTCTTATAAAGTCTGTTCGTCCTTAGTGTTGGGCTTAGCTATTATATTTAATCTATTTTTATACAGCCTAAACCATACAGTTGATGTTGGAAGGGGAGCTTCTCATCTGGTGCTGTATGAATCTTAGGAGAAAAACACACTCTGTTGTTTGAGTTTTATCAAACACTATGCTCATGGCCCTAGCACAGTCAGGACAGAGCTGGGGGACAGTGTATTAGTTGGCTTTCTGTTACTGGTATAAAGGCCACGACCAAAAGGACTTGGGCATAAAAGGATATTTCATCTTAGAGCTTCCAGTCCACTAGGAAGGAAAGTCAGGACAGGAACTCAAGGCAGAACCTAGAAGCAGGGACTGAAGCAGAGGCCATGAAAGAGAGCTGCTTGCTCCCCAGGCTCATGTTCAGCAATCCTTTCTTATACTTCTTAGGACCACCTGCTCATGCGTGGCAGCCCCTACAGTGGGCTGGGCCTACCCATGTCAATCACTAATCAAGAGAATGCCCCACAGTCTGATGGAGATATTTTCTTAACTGAAGGACCCTCTTCCCCAGAGACTCTAGTTTTTGTCATGTTGGCAGAAAACGAACCAACACATGTCCCTTTAGTGCTTTTAGGGTAGGTCTGCCTGAGACATAGTCTTAGCTTTCTATATAAAAGTATCGTTTTCGCCCTCATTCCTTTACCTGCAGCTTCCCCTGGCTTTTATGGTCTTTAGTGAGCTATTTGATGTCATTTATTTTTTTCTCCATGGGTCATTTTCTCTGTCGGGTTGGGTTTCATGATTCTTTGTTTTTCTCTTGGGTTGCATGACTTTTTATTTATGACGTGTATAGGTGTGCATATCCTCTTTGAGATTCACTAGGCTTCTCCAGTCATGTCTCTTGCCAAATTTGCTCACATTTTGGAGCTTATTTCTTTGGTTACTTTGGTGTCTCAAGCGCAGAATGTTTGGCGCTGTCCCATAGGTCTCGGGAGTTCTTTTTGTTTATGTTGTTCTACCTGACAATCCATGGGTGGCTCTCTCCGTGATAACCATTTTGCTGGTAGAGGGGCACTTCTGGTGGCAGTTTACTGCAGCAAGCAGTTACCATGTGGACATTTGTTTGTCTTGATGAGTGTCGTGGCCCTGTGGATAGGGAGAACAGACTTCTGGGGTCTCCCATGATCTTTGCTTAGTGGCGGTGCATATGGGTTATTTACTACTTCACTTGCAACCTTGGGATACATGAGTGCAAAGAAATATTTGTGGACCTCATCATTTTTTTTTCTTAAGTTTTGAAGCTGCTGTCCATTCTATTGCTTTAAGTATAGTTTCTTGTGTTTATTATATATATATAAAGACTCCACATTTTTAGTTGCCTATTTTGGTAGGTGTATGAAGAATATATCTACTCCAATTTCGTGAGAGTGGATGTTCACATACCTTCTTTAAAAACGAAAAAGAAAAAAGTGATTCATGTGTGTGTGTGTTTATAGTGTATATGTGTGGTGCATGCATGTGAGTGTAAGTGCATGCCCCTGTGCATGTACATATGGAAGACACAACACTGGGTATGTGCCTCTGTCCCTCTCTACTTTGTTGCCTTGAGTCAGGGTCTCTGAATTGGAAGCTCGTTGTTTAGATTAGGATGGGTAGTAGCTGAGTTACTAGGCTCCACCTGTCTTTGCCTCCCAGGGTTACAGACAGGCACAGCCATGCTGGGCTCTTATTGCGGGTGCTGGGGATTTGAACTCAGGTTCTCATGTTTGCACAGCAGGTGTTCTTACCCACTGAACCATCTCTCCTGCATCCAAAGTGATTCCTGCTAGGATGTTTTGATGGGAGTGGCCATGTGCCCCCCCAGGCTCTTACATTTGAGCTGCTGGTCCTCAGCAGGTGCTGCTGTTTTAGAGGTGGTGAAACCTTTTAGAAGGCGGGGCTTGGTTGTTATGGATGAATCACTGGGGATGAGGCTTTGAAGGTGGTAGCCCAGCCTTGCTTTTGTCCCGCTTTCTGCTTCCTGACTGACTGCCATGATGTCCTCAGCCACCCGATGCGCCAAACCATTCATTCCTTGCTCTTTCTGTTGGGATGTGCTGAAGTTCTCTGAAACCATAAGCAAAGCAAAATCCTTAGGTTGCGTTAGTCTGGTATTTTATCACAGCAATCCTTGCGACCCTTGTCTGCTGCAGTTTTCTTATCTCCTGTCTGGTTGACAGGATGCACACGTGTGTTTACACACAAGGCCGGTTTCCCAGGATAACCAGTACCTCAGACTTCCTCAAAGGAACTTGCCGTTGACTTGGTTGGGCAGCCATTGCAGATAATGCAATGGGAAGGGAAACTGATCCTGCTGTGGGATTGTGGCTTTTCCGTGATGAAGCATGTGCTTCCTAAAAGCTTGGAGCTACTAGTATATTAATGGAGATTTGATGGAGAGCCTGAGGAGGTGGCCAGAGAATTAATATGATTGTGTTCTGGTAGGTGCCTTGTTCAGCCAAGAGTCAAGACTATGCAAGAATTTCTGCACTGCTTTTCCTTTGACACGTCTCTTAGGGGCCCTCGACTCTTGGTCTGACTATCCTAAGGAGTCTTGTGTGTCTGGCTTAATTCATCTTTACTTTGCTTGCTGGGAAATGTATTTCATAATTTATTTGAGTAGCTAAATAAAGGTATTGAGTCCACATACCCAATATAAATCAAATCAAACTAAAAGTGCTGGAAGAGTTTTACCTTGTGAAGTTGTTAAATGCTGGTTTGGGAGTGCCCGATTCAAGCTTGGCTTGGTGGTCAGGCCTGGAATCCCAGTTATGTGGGAGACTGAGGCAGAAGACTAACAAGTTCAAGGCAACTTAATGAGACCATGTCTCAGAATGGCAAATTAAAAGCAAAGAGGCACAGCACTTCCAGCACATGGTGTGTAGGGCCCTAGGGTCAATCTCCAGTACTGGGGGAAAATGTCTTGTTCATATTTATACACCATTTTATTGGTGTCAGTGCTTTGAAAGCAGCAAGTAATTTTAATCAGAATGGCAACTGATCTGGCCATTTTAACACTCACACATTGTCGTAGTAACTTTCCAACTGCTGGGACAAAACACCATGACCCAGACAACTTACAGAAGAAAGAGTTTATTGGAAGAGGCTTATGGTTTCAAAGAGTGCATTCATGGCCAGCATGGTGGGGAGCAAGACAGCAGGCAGGCGGTCTTGGTGCTGGAGCAGTAGCTGAGAGCTCACATGTAGAGCCACAAGAATGAGACAGAAAAGGGTGGCTGGGAATGGTATGGGCTTTTGGAACCTTAAAGCCTGTCCCCAGTGATACACCTCCTTCAACAAGGCCACACCTTCTGTTTTGGTCAGGGTTGTTATGTGAGGAAACACCGTGACTGAAGCAGCTAGGGGAGTAAAGGGTTTACTTGGCTTCCACTTCCACATCATTGTTCATCATTGAAGGGAATCAGAGCAGGAACTCACGCAGGGAGGGAACCTGGAGGAAGGAGCTGATGCAGAGACTTACTTGATTCATGTGACATGCTCAGGCTGCTTTCTTATAGAACCTAGGACCACCAGCCGAAGGTAGGCACCACCCACAATGGGCTGTGTCCTCCCCACCACTCATGAATTAGGAAAATGCCTAATGCAGGACTTATGAAGACATTTTTCTCAACTGACGCCCCTCTTTTTAGATAATTCTAGCTCGTGTTGACATAAAACTCGCCAGCACACCTTTATACCGTTTCCAAACAAACAGTTCCACCAACTTGGGGCCAAGCATTTAAATATATGAGAATATGGGGCCACTGCCATTCAAACCACACTTCGCTCAATGACTGGGTAACTAACCCATCTATTTAACACAGCTAAGCTAAAAGACAAACCGCCGGTAGCAAAGAAGTTAGACTTGATGCCCAATGTAAGGCGGGAGAAACAGAAGGTGTGCTTCTGAGCAGGTGTTCTTTATGGCCTGATTTCAAAACCTCTGTGAAACCTTAATTATCAATCTTTTTCATGGCGTCTCAAGTGGTTTTGTCTGGATTTTGAAAAAGGGTTTGACCACACAGCCCAGACTGGCCTGGAGCTCATGCCCTTCCTACTTCAGCCTAAGTACTGAGATTACAGGTGTGTGCCACCCACCAGGATTGGCTTCAAGTATTTTCAACTTATTTTCTGTGATTTCCACTAGTAATTTTATTGGTTGAATTTAGAGCTAAACTACAAGCCACATACAGATAACTCTTAATTTTGGCAAAGATTTGCAGGGTGAAATTATTGAATGAGTAATGCCCATTGTGGGGCTGGGGATACAGCTTAGTTGGTAGAGTGCTTGCCTCATGTGTATAAGGTCCTAAGTTATAGATCCTAAGTTCTAATTTCAGTACTGGAAAACCAAAAACAAGCAAATAAAAAAAGTGAGCAAAACCAATGAACTTACTGATTACTTACTATTCACTAGTTACCCAGATGAAGTCTGTGTACAGGGTTTTGTTTTTTGTTTTTGTGAATGATGTGCTGGGGATTGAACCTAGGACTCCCTGTTACTTGGCTACAGCTCCAGTCCTATTGCATAAAGTTTTAATCTCTTACCAGCCTGCCTTCCTTCCATTACAGAGGATGCTCATTAACAGTTGCTACATTAAAAGAAATCATTTCTGCTATTCATCTTGAAGTGCAATAACGAGAATTATCTGTGTGAGAAAAGGCTTGAATTGCAGCCGCTGGATCTGTAATTTCAGCAGGTTTTAAGTTTGGAGTTTGTATTTCAGGGTTTCCTTGCTGTAAGTTCATGCACTGGTGGATCTCTCCTGATCTTTAATTCTCCCTGGGAACTTCGGTTTCAGATGATGTCTTACTGATTGTTTTAGCCAGTCCCTTCTGAGAATTTTGTCTGTCACATAGTCTACTACCTCTTAAGTACTTTGATCCAAGTCCTCAAATACTGTGGCCACCTATATCCATCTACTTTATGTTGTTATTCAGTGATATAGATTTTACTATTCCAGGAAGAGGTCAATCAGTATATTGAGCAAAAAATGAAACGCCAGCTGCAATTCAGTTACGATGAAAACAACAGCAAGTTCGTTCTCCCATGCAGATACTATAATATATATTTGTATGGTTTATGCATTAATAGTACAGATATTTTCAAATAACTTTTTTACATTTTATCAGATGTTGTATTGACTTTTTTTTCCCACGCTGGCTAAAATGTGATCACCACTTTCCTTTCTAGGTCTAAAAATAAAGCAGAAAAAAGGGGTTACTTTTTATTTTTAATTTTTTAAAAAAATCTTTTTTTTCATTTTGTATACCAATCTCAGTTCCCACTCCTTCCCCTCCTCCCATCCCCTACTCCCCACCCCACCTCCATCCACTCCTCAGAAAGGGTAAGGCACATTGCTTTGGGGAAGGTCCCAGGCCCTCCCCACTATATCCAGGCTGAGCAAGGTATCCATCCAAAGAGAATAGATTCCCAAAAAGCCAGTACAGGGGTAGGGATAAATCCTGGTGCCACCGCTAGTGGCCCTGCAGTCTGTCCCAGCCATACAACTGTCACCCACATTCAGTGGAAGAGGGTTACTTTTATCTTTAAAAGATTCATAAAGTTTGGAAAAATAATTTCTAGAAATCAATAAGAAAATAGGCAGCTGAGTGGGAAATGAGCAAGAGAGTTAAAGGTTCCTTTACAGAATAAGATCCCCAAACATTTGAATACACACACTCGATAGTGGTGATTGTTCTGTTAGTTTTGTGAACATGTACAATGCGTGATGGTAAAATGGTGGTTCTCCTGGCGCCTAAGTGGCTAGACGATGCAGAATGCTCTGGTAAAGGTCCATATTAGGCAATTCTTGTAAGTGAGCTATGAGGCATAATTCTTTTAGTCACAGTAAAAATACTAGTGATTTTCTAATGGTGGTGGTGGTGGTGGGGAGACAGCTCTATTATGCTGTCTGGAGAGATGGCTCAGCGGTTAAGAGCACTGCCTGTTCTTCCAAAGGTCCTGAGTTTAACTCGCAGGAACTACATGGTGGCTCACAACCATCTGTAATGAGATCTGGTGCCCTCTTGAGGAAGAGACCTGGTCAATCATCTTCATCATCTTAGACCATGAAACCCAATATGAACAAGTTCAACAGAACCGCCATATACAGGCTGCCCATGCATGCTTCAGCATTGCCAGGGCATAAATTTCAAATTTCAAATTTCAATTTTCACACCCCAAACTATCTGTTTGTGAGTCATACATGGATCTGATTTGTTTGTGTTTAAAGTTGTGATACATTTAACAAAATTATAAAGGTAGTCTTCATCTCAGGCATTCAAGATAATTTTAAATAAAGTAAATTAAAGCTAGGACTGAGCCAGTAATTTCTGCAGTAGCTAGTTTCTGATCCTGGTTTTCCTATGTAGGTTACTACGCTACATGAAGGAAACAAAGACATTGGTGTTCTTTCTTTATTAGTATTTTTATAGACATTATAAAATATTAATTTTGGTGATTTAGAAATGGAAATTGGTTGACTTTTAAAGATCAATATTTTGGATTGGGCAAACAGTTCAGTGGTAGAGCACCAGCCTAGCACATGTAAGGTCCTTGTTTGGACCCCAGTACCACCAACAAAACTCATAACATTTTAAATATCGGTGATTAAACGTATTATTTTACAAAGGAGTAGCAGCTGAGTGAGAAGGAAGTGGACCCATGTTCCAGCTATTTTCCCCTCTTCCAGTGGGTGAAGAGAAGCAAGCTACCCTCAGTTCCTTTTCTCTATAGTTAACATGTAATCCTCATAAGGGGAGAGGAATAAACTATCATCTGTTGGGTTCTTTCTTCCTCGAAGATCTGAGATCTGTTGGTACTGAAAAAGTTAAGTAATAATGTACTGTAAACTGTACCACTATTAACTCTTTATCTTTTGTTCTGTTATGTCCAGCCATAAACATGGCCCTAAACACAAGCAATATATTTTCAAGTATATATAGTAAAGTATAATTCCAAGGCTGTTGACTACTCCCTAGATCCGACATCTCACCTCTCTGTCCCCGAGTCCAGCTCTTGATGTTCTAAGTTTGTTGCTCGGCAGAAAGGATGCTCTTTAGGAAATGTTCCATATTAATGAAAAGGAGACGATCTTTGTTTTTTTGGATATACTGTGGAGTGCACAAAGGACAGAGTTAATATTCTTGTTCTTATTTTAAGTACTGTTGCATCTGCTAATCCAGATGTGAATTTACTAAGACAGTGCATGTAAAATTCTCAGCATAACATTTGACACATGACAGGCTTCTGAAGCTTTGCTCCCCTTGACGTTTTGGGATAGATGGTTCTTTGTTGTGTGGGCTTTCTATGGATTCTACACGATAGCAGTATCCCTGTCCTCTACTCACTGTCTGTCGGTGGTACTTCCTTCCCCTGAGACATGACATCAAAAATGTCTCTGACGTTGTCACCTGTTCTCTGGGGCACAAACCCACTCCTGTTCAAGAAGCATTGCTGTAGCGGGAAGGACATTACAGGCAGAGGGTCCCCTAAGAGGAAGTATACACTGCATGTTTGGGGTTGAGTAGATGAAGTGGGAAAAGACCGGCAGGTGAGGAGCAGGGGGGCTTGACTCCACTCACCTATTCCAAATGAGATGGGAAGTCACAAAATGGTTTTGGGAACATCTGACTTTCTTTTTCCTAAAAGGTCACTTTGCTGTGATGAGAACAGACTGAAGAGAGGCAAGGGCACTCTTGGGGAGGACAATTGGTATCAAGACATCTGAATAATCAAGAAGTCTAGATAAGACACAGTGGTGGCTGTCACTAAGTGGTGGCATTATCATTCATCAGACAGTGGTCATATTCTGCGTATGTTTTGAAGGTAGAGCAGCGGGACTTTCCTCACAAGTGGACTGTGACATGTGAATACAAAGGGGAGTTTTTGTGAAAACTTTGGTCTGAAAAACCTGAAAAATGAAGCTGCCATCCACCAAGGAGCAGGCTTTTAGGTGGACCTCATTGGGAAAGACACAACTTGGGTCTTGGACCTGTCATAGCCACATAGGTGGATATAATTAGTAAGCAATTTGATATATGAGTTGAGTTAGAGAGTTAGGAAGTGAATAGATCCACAGGGCTAAATTATAGTCCTCTAATTCTGAGGGGTCAGAGAAAGAAAATGGACCAGGAAGGAACAACCAGGAGTATGGGAGGAAAGCCAGAGGAAGACAATATCCTGGGAGCTGAGTGAAGAAAATGTACAGCAGGGAAGAAAGGGAGCAGATGGGTAAAGGCAGAGAGACGATACGATTGGTCTCTGATCCACAGGAGTTGGGTTATGGCAGAATTCATAGGAGGTGTCAGGGTCCCCAGGAAAGCATCACTATGGGTGTGTCTCTGAGGATGGTTCTAGAGATAAACATCACAAGGCTCTGACCAAACCAGTGGTTTAATCCAGTGATAGATTCAAATTTTCAATAGATTGCTAGGAACTGATGGAATTGTGAAGGCTACTTGGAGGAAGTGAGTCTCTGGAAGCATGCTTTGAAAGGTATGACTGGGCCCTGGTCCTTTCCTATTCTTCTTTCCATGTGCCATGAAGTGAGTAGTCTCAGCCACATTCTTCTGTTGCGATGATACTCTGCCTAGCCCTGGGTCCAAACCAATAGGCTACAGTCTAGTCTTTCTCTAGCATCTTTGGCTATGCTTAATGATGTTACATAATGCAAATCATGGTAGAGTCAAAGAGACCTATCCACTACATCTGCAAGAGGGAATACTCGTGATTTAGAAAGCTGTGGTGTAAACAGCAGTGGATGTGGTTTGCTCACTGAACATTGGGTGCTCACTGTAGTTACTATTTTGATGGGAGTGGTGGATGATTGGAGTCTCTCTAGGCACAATGCTGCTAGCTCTACTACTTATGAGCGCCTCTATCTAGCACTGGTGGCAGAAGCAGTGATAGCGGTCCGAAGCACCTTGTCCTTGGAGCAGTCAGTGATGCTGGCCCATGCATGGAGAGAGGCAACGGTGTTAGCACTATTCTGTGGAGCCCACACTCTGTCCTAACAGCAGCGTTTGGTCAGACAATTAGGGCAACACTGGCAAATCTATAGGCTGAGTGGAAGCAGGAACTAAGGTGTTCCTTTCTGCTGGTAGTGATGCAAACCTGGCACCAGTGCGTTCTTGGCAATGGGACTGTGGCTGGTGCCAGGGAAAGTTCTTCTAGGCCCGGTTTTGTCTGTGTTTGCTGCTGGCAAGGATGTGGCTCGAGCTATGCTCACCTGCTCTATCCTCCCTACTCTTACAGCTCGAAGGGGTGCCGGTGGGTAGGGTGGCAGGCAGAGCCAGAGAGCTGCTTACGCCCTTGCTCAGCACACTCCTGCTAAGGTGGCTAGGCCATCAGTGTGAACCACAGTATTGCTTCCCTGATTAACAGGAACAGGATCCTGAGTTCAGTGCAATGGGGTGGGAGATGCCTGGCTTCAGTCCTGCACTGGCGCATGTCCATTTGTAGCTGGCCACATCTTTGGCCTTAGATGTTGAGTGCACTGATATGGTTCTGGATTGGCTTGGGGGGGCACTCTTCATGTCCTTGTGTTACAACACTGTTCCCTACAGTGCAGGGCATTCAACCAATCAGTTTTGATCAGTTGTAACTGTGCTCTGGTTCTTTCCTCTTGAGAAAGCATCTAACTTGCTTTGGATTTTGGGTTTTTAAAGAGATCCTAGACTTTTAAAGTATTGAAAAACGTTAGACTGTGAGACCTTTTAAAGCTGTCCTGGATTTGATGTTTATGGGCATGAGATTTGGGGGGCAAACAACAAAGGAACTGGGATAGTTTCACAGCATTGTATTTATGTGCCCACGTTGACAAGGGGTAGACTCACAATGGTTAATTTTGGTTATCAATTTGACACACCAAGAAGAGGGAACTGATCTGTAAGATTGGGCCTGTGAGCATGTCTGTGCGGCAGGTCTTTGACCACTAACTGATGCAGGAGTACCTACTCAGTCTACTGTGCGTCCTGCCATCCCAGGGCAGGTAGAACTTGGAATCCATTAAAAAGGTAGGTGGGTGTGAGCCCCAAAGCAAGCCAGTAAGCAGTGTCTCTCCATGGTGTCTGTTTCATTTCCAGTCTCCAGGTTCCTTCCCAAGTCCCCACCTTAGTTTCTCTTGACAATGGACTACAACCCTTAAACTAAATAAGCCTTTTCCTTTCCTAAGTTGCTTTGGTGATGGTGTATATTACAGCAACAGAAACCAAATGTGTCCACAGGGGGGCTACTATGTATATTTCAGGTTACTTACCTAAGTGGCCTGCCGGCCAGTGAGTACCATGACACTATCCAGTAACTACAGTTGCCAGTATCAGCACTGATAGAGTTGGTGAGACTCCCCGCCCTGCGGAGCCAGGGTGGCAGCTACCTGAGACACTCTTGTTCCTCTTACTGTGCTGTTGACTCTTCTCTTTTGTCCCCGTCTCTCGGTTGCTCCATAACTCTACTCCCTATAAAAGGCAGCCTGTTTCTTTGGTTCTTTGTGGAGGAGGAGTTGAATGCTAGGGACCTCTATTTAGCTATCTTGAACCTCTGGGATCTCTTATTTTTAATTCTTTAAAGGATTATGAGATAACATTTTCATAAATGGCCTCGATAATAGCATATCGTTAAGGTCATGGTTAAGTTTGCATAGAAAACAGCACATTATGTTTGGATAGCTGTGGGATCATTTGGTCACTTGCATTCAGTCTCTGAGTCACAGCGAGGTTGCAATAGACTTCTGCTTATTTATTGATAATAGGCAATGGCAAGTCAAGGAGCTGTTGGAACTCTCTGAATGGGCCACATACCAAGGCCTTTTCTTTGTGAAGGAGTAGATTTTTTTAACTAAGACCATGTGATATACAAGATAAATTTAGTTACCTCTTCTGATGACTGCCTTGACAAACAAGGCTCACGCTTCCTCTCAATGAGTTTAGAGAGGAGATCTCTTTCTTTCCCAGAGGTGGGCTGCTCTTTCAGCAGCACGGCACTTAGGCTTTGGTCAAACTTATTGTCCCAGGAAACTGCTGACATCTGCAGTGTAGTAGAGAATGCCTCCTTGAAGTAGGCTTTCAGCCCCTGGTTAGGGAAACGTAGGCACAGATCAGCGTGACTTGCTATGCAAGCTTTCAAATAATGGTTGAGAGGAAAATGGGGCTTGAGAACATCTTCACTTGCTCCCTCCCTAATAATGCTGGTGAGCTTCATGCATCGGCATTGTTTCCGCAGCTGAGATGTTCTCGGAGCTGGTCTGCAGCTCCAGTAGAGCGTGCATTCTGCCATAGGCTATTACAGGAAGTTTGGCCAGGAACAACAGCCTTTTCCCAGTCAGTCAGGCCATCAGTGGGGCTCCAATAGACCCCAATATTACAAAGCTTTTATTGTCCTGGGGAATGATGTCTGAGTCGCAGAGAAAGAGAAGTTCTGTATATGTCATAACTACCTCATAAAACAACCCCAGAAATCTGGGGTTGGAATCCTGGTTGAAGTCCCCAGTGGTGATGTGGGCCAGGCAGTGGATCAACAAGAGAATGAAACTTCCCACAGACGCCAAACACTCTCTCCGAACAAACAAGGTTTTCTCAGTGCTCTGCATGGAAAAGATGTCCGCGCACAGACATGTCAACCTTGTGAGCATTTTCACATTTCTCAGTTTGCTTAGAATAAGTCTTTGAAAGGAAGCTTCAGAGATGAAGACAATTTTAGTTCAACTTTGATAAAATAATTTTTTCCTACTTTCCCCAATTTTTAACTTTTTTTTTTTACATTTTTTATCTCCCTCCCCCTCGTGTGTGTGTGTGTGTGTGTGTGTGTGTGTGTGTGTGTGTGTGTGTG